GCAGCTTGATGATTGGGTTTTGTGTAGAATATACAAGAAGCAAACAAGCGCACAAAAACAGATTTATAGTAATATGATAACGAGTGGTCGAGAATACAGTAACAATGGTTCGTCTACGTCATCTTCGTCTCATCAATACGACAACGTTCTCGAGTCGTTGCATGAGATAGACAACAGAAGTTTGGGATTTGCCGCTGGTACGTCGAATGCACTGCTTCATAGACCGGTTTTAACCGAACAGAAAACCGGGTTTCACGGTTTACACAGAGAGCCAAGTTTTGATTGGGCGAATCTTGGTGGACATAACTCGGTACCGGAACTCGGACTGAATCATAACGTTCCGAGTCTACGGTATAACGACGGTGGTGGTTATTTTAATGGTGTGAAGACGAACGAGGAAGGTGATAGAACGCAGCAACAAGCTGATGGGGTTAGTCGGTTTAGTAACTCGGGCGTGTTGGTTAACCAGGGTTTTAGTATTGACCCGGTTAATGGATTTGGGTACTCGGGTCAACAATCTAGTGGGTTCGGGTTTATGTGATTTGTGTGTAATGGTGACGCAATAAAATATAACATAATCTTAATTTTGTCCGACTCAGATTGATTGATTAATTAATTAAGTGTAGGATTGGAATTCTTTGGGTTTAATTAGCCAGATAGGTTTAGGTTCCCACCACTTGTATATTCGTCAATTGTCCTGACAGATTACATTTTTACAAATTTTTAGCTGGATCCTTTGTATTGGTTACCTACTTTATTAATAAATAAAATATTACATAATAGATTTGACTGATAATCTTATACCACAACAATATAGCTATGAATCGAGTACAAAGACAAATCCTGAATTATTTTGTACCACTATTTTACTGTTTTCATCTTCTTTTACCGTTAACTTTTTCACTGTTGTATATCAAATCATATACATTAATATATTTGGTTTGTTTCGTAATTGCTACCGATGAATAACTAAAAGAAAAATTATGTTTATTTCATTATCGTTTGTTCAACAAAATATCAACTTCGCAATATATGTAACAAAATCATAACTCATAGTTTTCGCTGTCACTAATCGATAAAAAAATCTAGCGCGACAAATCGTTAATCAAAACATGGAAACATAGATTTTTTTCGGTTAAAACTTGTAGTTGCTAATTATCGCCAAACTATATGATATATATTTGAACCGATGACCCAATGACTATAAAAAAAATTATTAACAACAAAACAAACAATATATGTCACTAAAGAACAAAACCAAGATGACGAAATTTTATATGTTCGTCAGCGATGATGTCTAGCTTTTAACGTTAGTATTTTCTTTATGCAAAATTTTAACTAATACTATTCATAATTTCGTATAAACATATGAAAAAAAACAATTCCGCACGAGATAGTTGTGCATGTGTTCGTTTATGTACAATGAGATATACAAAGACGCAAGTTATGTACAATGCATAAACAGCTATTCGTATTCAAGGTTAAAGGATGCTCAAATTTTTTTAAGAAAAATTGAATAATCTAAATGGATATGTATAGTGTATTAATGGAAATATGATAGTGATTGTAACTTATATAAATTGTTAGATGACCAAATCTTAAAGACCAATTTCGACTTTGAAGATAAGAATGGACCGTTTAGGTTTTCTCGAAATTGCACGTGTGCGTCAATGTGAGCAGCTTCTTTGACTAATCTAGAATCATTTCTTTCCTAAAATAGTAATAGTTTATACCGTACAAGTTTTAAACACAGTAAGGCCTTTTTTGTCCGTGTTATATGTGGATTTCCATAATACTATACATTTTTTTAAAGAAAATATTTATCTAATTACTCGTTTGACTAAAATTTAGTAAAACAAATTAGTTCTTGACTAATTTGGCTTCCTTTCAAATTAGCAGTAGTTAATTTCTCAGAATTCGATTAAGGTGTCTGGACTAATATCTCAGAAATGGGTTGGACGGAGCTTTACGCCATCCATTATCGGAAGAGCATATTCGATCGTGAATACACGAAAACGAAAGCTTTTGAGTTGAATGCTTTATTGCTCTGTAACCATTTTGCATAATAATACTTGTGGTCCAAATTCAATACGTTAAACCAACTGCTCTTTATTTCGTTCGACCGTACCACTGTAGTAATTATATGTATTGGGTCATGGGCCAAAATTTGGATCAGTTAAATCCCACTAATTAGGGTATAGGCCTAGATAATATCGTAGCAATAAATTATC